CAATTTTACATGTAGCAAAGATCCTAGTTTTCCGTAATTTTTCAAATGCAATATTTTGGTTGCATTTAAACCCAAAGTGTCGGATGATGAAGCTGAGAATTTGTAGGCCTTAAATGATGCGAGAAATTTATGTAAACTTTGTATACAAAGTTAAGCGATGGAAACCAAACTTAAATGACTAAGTTTTCTGCGTATCCGTCAATCAAGCACGCATGTCAGTCGTACCTATTCATCACTCGGATCTGTTTCTCTGCAATGCTAGTTGATTTCCAAATTTTTAAAATGCTTTTGAAGACATCTGTCATTTTTCAATGCAGTTGAAATGACGCTCATTTTATGTCCACAAATTCGCAAGTTATGAGCTAGTGTCGATTGTATGGTTTATATAAACCGCATAAAGGCAGTTTGTCTTATTTTCAAAGTGTTGGGTAGTCCTCGAAAATACGCTGACCGAGCTCATAGCAAATGAAGCATGGGAAGCGTGTAGTCAATATAGTTGGCATGCTCTTGAACAGGCAAAAATTTCCCTTTGTCTTGTAGTGAAAGCTGAGGTTTCTCTTGACGTAAAAACACTTCAAAGCTTACCTTTGGTCCAGCACTTTCTGAAAAATCTACCAAATTTGTTCGCTTACGTTACAAAACATTACAGGCAACCTTCGGTGCATGATGTAGGAAACGGGGAAAAGTAGTCAAGATGATTTTGTGCGTTCGAGTGTTTACATTTCGGTTGCCTTAAAAATGCTAGTATAAATTTGTTATTTGAAAGTGAAAAGCGACCCAACATATGCACCGCACTTCTAATCTTGCGTGAAAAATTGAACGTTGTGGAATTTCTGCAACCGGCTTGATATTTGCATAATTAAGTTGAAAGACTATCAATCATGCATATTTGACGCGAGTTCAAATTTTATCTACGAAATGTCGCCCGATTTGTCAGTAATCCTCTCAATTTTAACCAGACGAGCGTGAAAATTACTTTACTCAAATTCTGACAATATGTAAATAGAGCCCCTCTGTGGTCACGAAAGTAATTTCAAAACTAATAGTGAAATACTTGGAAATACAGGTCACTATTACAATTCTGGCTGTAAAATGCGGAGGATAATAATCGACGTTAAAACCCATCCAGGTCAAATTTGTAGTCTCCAAATTTTTCCTCCAAATATAGGCCCTGAATATAATATTAATTTCAAAGTTGAAATGAAAGTTCATAAGCCAGTGCTCGGGTTATGCTAAACGAATCGATTATTTGATGTGGTAAGCGGCTGCAAAGCGGAATATCCTCGGATAGAATTCTTAGAGGACTCTACCGATTTTGTATGAATTATTAATCTTTGTACAATGCCCACTCACAGATAATTTCTTCATTTTAATGTACTTTTTCAATGGGAAACCAAATAAAATCTTGGAGCATTGATTAAAAAATGATAAATGCACTGGTACTACGTAGTTCAAGTATCAGAATACCAGGTGAAAATACGGCAAATCAGATCTATTCACAGGCCTTCTACTTTTGCGCTTTAACATTAAACGCAAGTTGTTGCAAAATCATCGTAAAATTACACAATCTTACCGGTCGGGCAATTAATATGTGGCTTTGATTTAAGCCATCTAAAGCTTGTCATATTGGCCTGAATTTACATTAGAACTTTATTTAATTCCTTTCAGGCTCTTCTGTGATAAGCAGAAGAAAGCTCCAACCCCTCTGTTTACCGCAACGACCTTGACGGCGAAATCTGAATCTGTTAGTGGAAGACCATTACACGTTGATGCGGTGACTTATGCTCGGGGGTAACATCATTGGTTATCGGAACTTTAACTGTCACTGTCACCTTTGAGTGGTTAACGTCTTCGTAGCCGAATGGACTTCAGAAAATATTTGCGTGTGTGAAAATGTGAGTCTTGTTTTTTTTTCATTAGAAACGGAATCCAAAAACCTGATTCCAAGATGGACTCTTTATCTCGACTGTTGGTGCTAAAGGTGTAATCACTTTTTCCAATTCGTATTTCAGAAGAAAGTGTAGCAAAGTGGATTTATTTTATTTTGTTTAAACAGCATAGGTCTGTTGTAAATACGGCATGCTCCTTATAATCAGCTATTTCAAGTGCATATTTTGCCAACAGCTATCAATGAGAACATAGAAATTTGTTCTCGTTCCAAGTCATTTTTATAAAACATTTTGAATGATTAAGAAGGAAAGGGCTCAGTGGATAGTGTATGCCTCTTTCCTCTACGGTACCATGAAGCATGCTCATGTGCATTGACCTATTAGGAAATGAAACTTGTCGCCATATTTCCAAGTGAATAATCAAATCTTTTCGAACTTCAAACGATTGCACGCTCCTGGCGGTCTCGTCATAACCAATTTAGGCTTAGGATTTCAGTAGTTTAATCGGAAGGTTGAATGTTTTGCATATATTTACAAAAATATTTCGATTCATTAACATGCATAAGTCGAACTAAGAGGCTTAGAATTCATGTAATTTTTATGCCATAATTGCTAGTTATTAAATTTTACGCCACTTGAGTCTGACTTTCCAAGTTTCGGACATCATAGCTAACATTTTTCAAATTGATAGGTTAGTCAATGCGTGTCCGATCTCGGGGCACCTGAACTAATGTTCTGTGGCATTATGTTTGCAAATGTTGCATCAAATGCAAACGTTGTTTACAGCATCGAAATATGACAGTTTTATTAATAAG